GAGCGCCAGGATGCATTTTAACCGCATATGCATTGCTTCGATGTATGGAATGAATGAATGTGTGCATAGATGAATGCGTGAATGCGTTTCATGAATGTATGAATGATAGCAGCTTGAATGAATGATCATATAAAGAAATAGTGGGGGTTCGGTAATGCTACCTTGATGTCTCGAAAGTACGACGGGGCTTGAGGAGCTCCAATGGGAAATGTCCGACCAGGATCCAGCGCTGCTCGTGTTATGAGAGTCAAGATGGCTCATATGGGGCATCCTCTACACTCTTTCCTATCTCTCGGCATTCGCCTAAGCCATCCAATCAGTCAGAAGCCTGGCTTTCTCTCTAGGCGGAGATCCCCTAGTTTTGGGTCTTTCCATGTCCCACTCCAGGAAGGCGGAGAGCCGCTTATGTGTAGTTGCGCCTGTTTCCTCATGCTCGGCGTGCAGTGGTAGTGGTGGGCCATGCCTGTGCCACGCCCCGTTTATCCAGCGCGCCAGCCTGCGGGTCGTGCCCCTCAGTCCTGGTGCATCCCATCGTACCCTTCCGCATTGAATGGGGAAGGGAGAGGGTTTTTGCCCCATCATTTGCCTTTTCCCCAATCACTGCTACCTCCTTTTTAAATGGGGAAAGGAGAGGGCTTTTCCCATTCCTTCGCCTATTCCTCATCTACCGCTTCTCTTCTCCTTCTTCCTTCTTGCCGAGAGCGTTTGAGTGTCATGTGGTTCCCTAGGAGAGAAAAGGGGAGAGCAAGGAGAGGAGAAAGCTCATAGATCTATTCGCAAATCCGACGACAATGTCGAAGCTGGAGGTCATCTCGTCGTGAGGGCTCGGTCACGCTGGCCTCCTTTGTCGAGAAGGGGTGCCGCCACGAAGGAGGTGGCGATCGGAGGGCCTGCTGGGGAGGATTTCCTGACCTCGGATGGCGAGGTTGTCTCCTTCCTCACCTTCCACGAAAGGGTTAAGTTACCCCGCCACAGACCGGTTCTTGCATGGGCTCCTCAATGAGTGGGGCTGAGTCACCAACACCTCAATCTGACCGGGGTCGTACACGCCAGATTTGTCATGGTGTGTGAGGCCTTCCTTGGGATGGAGCCAGACGCTGGATTTCTTTTCAAGCGATATTCTCCGGGCGAGCTTTGTCGGTGGGGGAATCCGCTTGAGACCGCTTCCAGTGGGGGGCTTTGCCATGCAGAAGAAGCTGAGGCAAGGCCGGGCGCCTACCCCACGTACACATCCCATATGACTCCAACCAGGGGTGGCGACGAGGAGTGGTTCTACATCAAGAACCTGCAGGGAGGCGCTCATTTCTTGCAGCTGCTTCACCGCGTAAGGCCAAAGAGGCAGATGCTGGTCGGGGGGCCCCTCCAACCGAGAGAAGAAGAAGGTGGAGATCATCGAGGTGGAGCTCTAGAAGTTGGTGGAGTAGGGCCTGATGGGGTGTGGGTGTTCCACACTATCTTCTACCATTGGGTCACCCCAATCAAGTGGAAAGGACGGGTCGATGTGGATGTACAACGGCCCGACGGATTCGGACCACGCCGCCGCCAAGGAGTTGGCGAGCGATTTAAAGTTTGGAGCCAAATGGACCGGTGTCTTTGCGATGAGGTCCAAAGAGTCCCTTGATGGGAAGCCTAGAGCCCTTAATGCTTTGAGGTTGTCCAACCCTGGTATGTTCTCCTCTCCTTACTCAGTGTTCTTCTCATGATCTCGCCTCCTATAATTTGATTTCCAAGTCATCCAAAAGCTTGCAGGACTTGCCAAGTATAAATCTGGCCGCATCTTCGAAGGGGTCAGGAGGTGCCGGCTTCATGGCAAGTCACCAGGAAGGAGGTGGCCGGATGCCGGAAGAAGAAAAGCCTGGGGCTCGGAGAAACAATGAAGGAAGCGAGGTCGCCCAGACATATGCATGAGGTGGCGAAACCGAGGCGACACTCGGTGAGCTGGTCGAGGAAGGACCCCGTGGAGATGGGTGATGACATGATCTCCTCCGAGAGGAGGTGAGGTCGATGTCACACCCTCATGGGCGCTGAATGACCGCCAAATGACATGGATAGACGCTGAGGTGATGATGTTCCTACTGTTAGGTTACCAAAGTTTTGGACGCCACGAAGCAGCTGGAGGCGGAAGAGGACGTGCGGTCGCCAGAGATTCTTGGAGGAGGGCTTCACACTCCATGTATCGTCAGGCTTGCCACGACGTTGACTCCACAATGGGGGACACCCCACTAGTCGCCTGCCAATAGCGTTAGCCCAAATGCAAGGACATTAGATGATTAGGGCCGATCGTGGGACACCGAGAAGACTCCCTCAACAAGTGAGAGAGGGCGTTGGTTGCAACCTCTGAAATGTCTTCATCCACCGTGCCCATTGCCTAACGACTTCAAACCCCGGCCGCCACGCCCTGGGAGATGTATTCTCT